CCGGGGCGGGCTGAAGCGGAGCCGGGCTGAGGCGGGACCGGGGCGGGATGAGGCGAGACCGGGGCGGGGCTGAGGCGGGACCGGGGAGGGCTGAGGCGAGACCGGGGTGGGCCAGGGAAGGGCTCCGCCGGAAAGGCCGGAGCTCATAAAGAGCCCTGGGAGCTCCAGGGGCCTGCCCAGGGGCTTACTGCGGCCTTGGGCAGGCGGGCGTGAGGAGCCCGGGCCGAGGCAGAGCCCGGGCCAAGGCGGCAGAGCCCGGCTGCCCCAGCCCCGAGCGCGGCCGGACGGGCTCGAAGGAGCCGCCGCAGGTGAACAATGAGAGCTGTGAGGGGCTGAACACGGCTGAGCGGTGTCCTGGCCGGAGTGAGTGTGCGGGGCTGTGAAAAGCGCCATAAATGCACGCTATTAACTGATAAATAGCGGATTTAGTTGGAGTTCTGGCGGCCCGGCAGGCTCTGGTCTGTCCTGGCTGGAAGATTCTGTAGTAGGGGTTCATAGTTCAGGTGGGAAACAGGGGAAGTTACTTGTACAATGCATAAAAAATAAACAATAAATTGCAATCGCAGGTGTACCCAGCAGCCTGGCTCTCCGTGCTAACAAGCAGCCGCAGTGGGATCAGGTGTGTCTGATTCCTAAATTAGGCCCAGCAGGTGGGTTAGAAACTCAGCTCTGGGTCAGGAATGACTTCAGTGTGTGCCTGTTAATAATAAACAGCTGCGTTAAAAAACAAGTTGTTATTTCGGGTTCCTGTTTGCTACCTCGCAGGTTGTTACAGTAATGAAAGACTTTGGATTCATTACAGGAGATGCATGTGCTAATTAGGAGCCCAGTTAATAGGGCAGACTGGGAGCTGTGCTTGCTGCTTCCCAGATTTCCAAAACCTCAGGAGAAGGAACACAGGGATGCAGTGTGAGCATCAGAGGCAGGTGAGTGCCAGGGGAGGGGGCCATGAGCTGCTCAGAAAACAGAAGCAGGCTCTGGATTTCTGTCCTTAACTCCTGTGCTGGTCCTGCTGGAGCCTTCCAGGGAAGGAATGGGGCTGGCAGATTCCTTCCTGTGTCTGAAACAGGGAAGGAGAACGTGGGAAAGTTACAACAGGGATAACAAGGATCTGCTGTGTTCAGGTGTTACATCAGTTCAAGGTCTCATTGTGGTTTCTGATGTAGTGACTTCATACAGATGGCACAGCTTCATTTGGTTTATTTGTCCTTAAAAACCACAAAAAACCCCACTCAAGCCATAATTTACTCCTTATATTTAATTACATCTTAGTGTTCCCATAGTTTCTTAACTCCTCAGCTGCTCAGCTTTTGCCTAAATCATCAAAAGCAAAGAAAATTCGTTCTGCTCCAGTTACTTGCAGAAGCCACCATTGTGCTTCCTTTCAGGAACAAAATAGAATCCCCAGGAAGTCGAGGGGAAATTCCTTCTTTCCAGGAACAAATGTGTGTGTGAAATTTGTGGGTGTAATTTGGGGAGCTGTGGAATTCATGGAAGTTTTGTTAGAATTCCTAGGATTTGTTAGCATGGCTGAGCAGGTCCCATCTTGTTTGTGTTACCAGATGCCATTGGAGCTTCCCAAATGGAATCCCAGAATGGTTTGGGTGGGAAGGGACCTTAAATCCCATTTCCAGCCTTGCCATGTCAGGGACAGCTCCCACTGTCCCAATGTCCAGCCCCAATGTCCAGCCTGGCCTTGGGCACTGCCAGGGATCCAGGGGCAGCCACAGCTGCTCTGGCAATTCCAGCCCAGCCAGCAATTCCCAATTCCCAACATCCCGCCTAAATTTCCTTTCTGGCAGAAATACTCTCTTTTAATAAGTAGCATTTATTGAATCATTTTTAAGCTTGTTTGCTGTTTGTTCCACAAAGGAAGAGATCAGGTCCATTACTCAGAGAAGAAAGACTAACCCAGAGTGGGAAAAGCTGTTGAGGATAAAAGAGTTAATTTGATTTTTGTTGAGTGTGGTTGGCCCAGCAACTGTGGGTGGCTCTGGGGCAGAGCAGGTGCACCTGGAGACAATAAATGCAAATTTAGCTCAAGGCCTCTAAAGTGACTTCTCAGCCTCATCAGCTGCTTGTGCTGTGTGTTTAAAAGGAGAAAAGTGGATTTTATTTGGATTTATCCACGTGGATATCAGCAGTTACTGGAAAGGCCTTAAATCAATTAATTGCATGTCTGGAAGCAAAACACTAATGCTTCTTTTGTTTGGGGCAGCTGGAAGAAAATACTTGTATTTCATATATTTATACATATACAGGCTTGGTTTATTAGTGGCTTTGAAATGCAGAAATACAGAATAATCTTCATTAAACCTAAGGAAACCTTTTCCTGCTGCAAATTCCTGCTGGATTTTATTGTATCTTGGACTGACAGAACACCCCACACTGCACTTGGGGTGTTTTATTCATATTTCTTCTTTTCCTCCTCTGGTTCAGGATTATTTCTGTTTTCAGCCGTGCTTTAGGGATAGCAGAAAAATAATGAAGAAAACAATGAATAATGAGCGGCTGTGCCCGGGCTGGGGTTCCCCTTGTGAAGGAACATTTCTGCATCCCGAGAGAAGCTGCCCAGCATTCCAGAGGGAAGGAAAAGCTCGGAGGTGCGGTGGGAGAGGAGCGCTGTCCCCAGCAGGTGGCAGGAGCCGCCTTCCCGCACGCTCCGTGCCGCTGTCCATGGTTACCCACGGCAGCCCGGGATGCTCGGGAACAGGAGCGGGAAGGGACGGTGTGGGGCACAGGTGAGCCGAGCATTCCCTCGATGATTCCCTGGGAAAGCTGTGGCTGCTCCCCTGCTCGCGGATCCCGCACCACAGGAGCGTTTTGGCTGGGTTTTACTGCCACGTGGGGCACAGAAATGACTTTGCCAGGGACAGGAGCCAGGGAGCAGCTGGAGCTGGGCCAGGGATGGGGCTCAGGCTGGAGATCAGGGAAGGCTCTTCCCCCAGAGGGTGGAATGAGCTCTGGAAAAGCTCCCCAGGGAATGGGCACGGCCCCGAGGCTGCCGGAGCTCCAGGAGCGTTTGGGCAGCGCTGCCAGGGATGCCCAGGCTGGGATTGTTGGGGGGTCTGGGATCATCCCTGGGGGTCCCAGCTCAGGATATTCTGGGGTTCTGTGAGTGATTTCTGATTTGAAAAGGAACCAGCCCCAGCTCTTAGGCAGCTGTTCTGGTGGCTGTCACCTCAGTGAGAAAACTCTGCCTTCCTTCCCTCCTACCTGGAGTGGTTTTGCTTTCTGAGTTTCCAGCTGGAGTGAGGAGCACCTTCCTTAGGAGCTTGTACCCCGAGGGCTCCTGAGCACTGCCCTCAGTCCTGCCCCACACTTGTCATAACCTGAGCTCATTTTTATCTCACCTCTTATTTCCTGGAGTGAATTCCTTAACATTCCCTGCAGTGCTTGGCTGCTGCTTTCTTGTTTCAGTGTCCACACACTCCTGGTTCCTTTACCCCACTGATTCTCTCCTTTCCCAGAGCAATCCCAGCCTGTCCCAGCTGGAAGCACTGAGCCAGGCACTGCTTCTGGACCAGTTTCTCCCTGAGTTTGGGATTTGGAGCTGTGCCTGCACAGGAGCAGGAGGTATTCCCTGTCCTCCTGGGGAGCATCTTCCCCTGCATTGCCTCAGAATGAGAATTTCCAGTTTGGTTATTAATTACAATTCTGGCTTGGGATATTTCTGTGGGGCATTCAGGTATAGTTTTTCTAATCACCATCCTGGTAATTAATCTGCCAGCCAAGCTCCCTCATTAGCAGCCTGCCTCGTGTTGGTCTGTCCCATTAAACCTTCTGGAGCTTTTGGGGGCTGCTCACAAGTTTTCTGAAAGTTGTCTGTGATAAGCTCAGGTTGTGGTCAGTTAATAATCTTATTTAAACGGTGATTGAATGAAAATATTTAGTTACTATCACCAAAAATGAATATTCCCCTCAGCATCTTTACAAGCACAAAAGATAAATATTTGTTTTACCATTCTCTAAGAGTTACTGTATTGATTCCCA